TAGAACCCACCACACAAACAAGCATCAAAATTCAAAAAGGCATCATCAGTTCAATGCTAGAAATTTATCGGCACTGCAAATTGCGTCTTAGTGTAGATATGAGGAAGGAAAGAGATAGAAAGAGAGTTACATTGCCATGAGGGTGAAGAAGATAAGGATCATGAGAGAGAGAGCATATGCTATTCTAGAATAGCCATAATGCTCTTTTCGACACCAGCAGTAACATATACAGACAAGGCACAAGCATATCCCAAACAGCAGGAACCATAAACCAGCGGTGACAAAGAAGGGAGCCGCGGTAAAACCAACAGACTGTATCATAAATCAACAATCTATATCAAAAGCATTCGTTGAGCAACATAATCGACCATACATTTCTTCAACTTAACAATGTCAAAAACAGAATAACATGATTTGAGAAAGAAAGAATATGAAACCAGAGAGTATCAGCAAACCCAACAAAAAATATGTTTGTGTGTGTATATATATATATAATCAACAATGACATCATTAACGCAAAAAAATTTAAAAACTGGCAAGCTCATCATGGCCTATATTTTTTTTTTGGTCTGATCATGGCCTATATTTATATGTATCAAAATAAGTTTCAGTATGTCAGGAAATCCGCAAACCAAATGCAGAAATTCACAAGTTAACCACATACATACAATACAGGAAACCAGAACACGGACCTCATTCTTGATTATCAAACAGCCAAATAACATGATCATTCATTCATAAATTGAGAGAAACCCAAATAACAAAAAAGAAAAAAGACAATGAATCAAAAGTAAATTAAATTAAGGTTAAGATAAGAGAACTGACCGCCCAGTAATGCTTATTGCTGATGTTCCAGCCTCCTGTGTATCTGTTGAACCCATTAAGAGGGTCTCTTCTGCTTGTCCTCTGCTGAGCCAATAATAAGACGGTCGTGTTTTCTTCAAGAAACCTCCGTGTGTCTAATGGCCATGTCACCACCCCATTGATCCCAACGTGCTCTCTCTCACCAGCTACCTCTACAGCTGCACATTCAACCATAAAGCAACCCATTTTCTCAATGAACACGAAAGTAACAGCATTTTCACAAAGAACACGAAAGTAACAGCATTTTCATCCAAAAATGAAATAGGAAATAGAAAAATAAAAGGGGCATTTCATACATGAGTACCTGTTGTTCGTATAATGTGCAAAAGGTCAGGGCTTCCGGAAGTTAAAGAAATGAAGAAAAAGAAGGAAACAAAAAGAAGGAAAATTTTCAATGGGTTTGATCTGAAGCATAACATTTTGTTTTTGGTTTTTGGGTTATATTAGTAATGCTTCTTCCTGTTGTTGTGTTCGCGTCTACGTCCGAGAATTTCCTCAACCTCTGGTTTTTGAGGCAGAGCTCGCGGGCGGGGGAGAGACAAGGACCCGCCTACATCTTGTGCGAGGTGGGGTTATTTATACATTCATACCTGCACACGAACTTGTGGGCAGAGAAGCAGAGATAAATAGACACTGAGAAATTATTTCACTATTATTTTTAAGCTAAGATATTTGATTTATTTGTTTTTTTGGTACTAAGACATTTGAGTTTAAACAAAAATAAAAAGATACCAAAAAGAGGATTAAACTAATACTTGTCCAAGTTACGAATCCGTATAAAAACAAATCCAACTGCTAACATGTTATACTCAAAATGGAAAAGCAATCTAATCCGTCAAAATTTAATGGCTAAAATTACATCGTGTACCATACGAGTTTGTAGATAGAAATTCTCAAAGAATGATAAAGGAAGGTTTTAAAGTAAAATTTGACTATTGACAAAACAAATATTATTTAGCTGGAAATCGTAGATTACAACGATGAAATAATGTTTGTATTTATTTAGCTAGTAAATACAGATTCATACGAACGTATTATTCTTGTTTAATTTATAGGTTTCTTTTGTGAAATTTGGAAGATTTGAATAGTCTTAATTAACTTCTTAATTAATTATACGAGTGTGATGGATAAGATCAAAATCCGTTTCTCTCTCTCTATATATATACACACACAAATTCAGTACGTACATAATTGACCACAAAATATTTCCTTGAGGATTAGCAGAAATGTATATTTATAGCCATGAAAATCTTGTAGCTAAGAACATATAACTGATGGGAACAGAAATTACTTTAAATAAAGCTAGCTTTGCTAAGTAATAAGAAATTACTCAAAAATGAGTGGTGGTGGTGGTGTGCATGACAAGTCTCTAGGCTTACGTTCCACTGTATTCCCACCTCCACCAAGTAAGGTCCAATGGTTTTGAGTTTTTATTTTGCATGCAACATGTCACATGCATGCATGCAAATTGCAATGGATGAAATGATAGATGTTTTCGTTTCGACATACAAAGAAAGTTATGCATATGATTGTAGCTTGGTTTCTCAGGCATCCAATATGGCATGTCGCATATTCGATGAGAAACGATTTGAGATTGAAAGTAGTGGTCGAGTGTGTAGACTAGAAAGTGACATAAACATTAGAAAATGATAGCAAGGCTTAGGCACTCATATTCATATAAATATAGTTTCCTTGGATTTGGAGAGCAAATGGAGCAACTCGCTTAATCAGTAACTGACAACTCAGAAGATTTTATTCTTCTCGAATGAAGGAGAAGAAAGAATACCGGAAAGGGTTAGATATTAATATACTAGTTAATGAGTTATTGCACCTACACTTTGTCCATGTGCATTGATTCTGCATAAAGCTTTACTCGGAGTAGGTAGCTAGTGCATACTCAATCACTGTCCAATTATTTTGGACATATTATTAATGGCTTGTTTTAGGTTCCTGCCAATCTAAACCTCTTAATTAGGCTAATTGCTATTTTAAATCAACTGCTTTTCAGTTTGGACCTGGAACTTATTCCCACCATAACTGTGTTTTCTGCTTCTTTATGGGAAGTGTCCAGGAGAAACAAAAATGTGGAGGAGAGAGACCGAGTCGAGGGAAGCAAATATCACTCACTGCAGTCTGCAACCAGGTTCTCAGAATTTGGAATCATTTCAAAATCCTAGTCATAAACACGATCATGATCATGATGGTGATGCTTTCACTTTTCAGGCATATTCACTTTGCTTCTTTTTTTTCTTTGTATTTTTGGATCCCATTCCCATATCGTCATTCAGTTTCTTTAGGTCCCTTAGCTTCAAGTACTGGGAAAAAAATAAAGCCTTTGGAGATTGTGGGGTACGAATTAGGGTTTTTATTTATTTATAACCTCTTTCCTATTGAGAAATGCGATAGTATACTAACTCTCATACACTACATAAATGCTAGGACTCGAACCCAAGACATTTCCTAAGAGAGCAAATTAATTAGGATTAATATACAGAGTCATGACAACAAGTAAAAAATCAGTTAAAAGTGTTGAGTCTTACACTAATAATCATTTGAATATGAACAAAGAAGTCTACTTTTTTCAGGGACTTATAGAAATGAAAGAAAAAAATTGAATAGATGAACAAGTTAGGTCTCTTTATCAGTCGCATTCTTCATATTTTATATTGATAGCTCAAGAGGTAAAGAAAAACTAACGAAAAGTTGTTTTCGGCTTTGCTGACAAAAATGACAAGGGCCTCCTTTGCCCATACTTTTTGGGCTAAACATTAATAAGGCCTAATATATGTAGGGCCTAAATGAGTGTAAGAACATGGGGTTCAAATCAATCCAAAAGCATATGTCACTCGAACAAACCAAAAAAGTTAATAAAATAACCGGAAAAAAAAAAAAAACCAAGTAGAAAGTAAAAAAAAAACTCAAGGTTAATATTATTTCTATCAATCATATAATATTAGGTATTAAGGCTTTATTAGGAAAATATTTTAATAACAATTTAGGTGAATTATTTAATTTTATCATTAAGTAATGTATCTAGTTAATTGCGAGATTAGTTTAAAAAATTGATATAATACAATAGTGCTACAAAATATTGTATGACTAGGTTTTGACTAAGCTTTGTTACAGATAGTAATGCCAAGGTTTAACGAGTTGTTATCACGGCTAAGCCTGGAAGGTTTGACTGGTCAAAATTAATTAAACTCTCTCTCTCTCTCTCTCTCTCTCACACACACACACAAACACATATGTACAATATTTTGTGTCATTTTGCAGTCAAAGTCAAAGGAAGTCCCTGTCGGTTTGTAATTAACATTACCGTAAATAAATAAAAAATTGTTTAAGTATATACTTAATTGTAGACATATTTATTATAAGAGTTGTTGTACCATTAGCATATAACATGAACATGCGAACCAGCTTAAAAAGACATTGAATATGATCACAAGAAGAAGAAGAGCTCCATCAAATTCACGAGTACTCGAATCAATGTTGATATTAGTAATCAGGCTACATATATATATATATATATATATAGGGAGTTTTAGTTGAGGGGTTCTTCAAATAAACATATTTGAGAGACATCCTTATAAGATTCATTCTGTATTAAATTTCACTAATCCAAACCGTCTATTTTGTAGATGTGCATTCAAAGATATCTCTATATATAAAAAATCACTTGAATCCGATATCATTTTGACAACTCAATTGAAATATTGAAAATTTAGTACTTTCTTAAAGTACCGTGTTAAGTGATTTTATAAGATAGAATTGGATGTCGAAACGGTTTCCAATTTGTCTAATTTTTTACAAGAATGATCTATGAATGTAGACTTAAAAATAGATGGTTTGGATCGTTAAAAAAAAAAAAAAATCATAAGAAACCCTAAATAGTGCCGCTCAAATAAAATTATTTCAGGAACCCCTCAATATAAATATAGTATGAGTTAAAAGAGTTATATAAAAAATTATATAAAAAATGTACAAAACAATATAACTTGGAACTGGGAACCACGTGATCACATTAAGACAAAACACCCCGACCAAGTGATTAATTAACAAAATTAAACTTCAAATTCGAGAGAGACAGCGAGAGCTAAAGTAATGAATTAATTAATCAAAGCATTTGAATGGTTCAGTTCAGTCAATTAAATTGAAAATTGTAGAGACAAAATAGTAAGTTTAAGTTTTGTGGTTTTTTTCTTCTTTCTTTTTTTTGTTGCTAACACAGAGGAGATCTATGAGGAATGCGTTTTCTTCTACTGATCATGCTCGAGGCCATGTCCTCGTCTGAAACTTTATGAGCTGATCTTCCGCACAATGAAGCATAATTCAGTCCACTTCTCTTCTTCCGGACAATCTCATGATGTCTGTATCCCATGTTCATGCTCATGCTCATGTTCTCGGACCCTGATGACCCGGATGATGATGAGCTCATTGGGTCATCGCAGTCCACAATTGTAGAATGAGGGTTGGTCTGATCACTCGTCATCTCCTCGTCTCCGGTATCAGAAAGAGGAACCAAGAAGTCAGGACTGAGTTGAAGAGAGTTGCATTTCTTTAGGAAAAGAGAGAGGTCCTTGTTCAATTTAAGGAGATAGTCCACCTGATTAACATTCATCATTCCAAATATTGTTCAGTTTTAGTTAAAGCCTTTCATATATGCCTCTCTCTCTCTCTCTCTCTCTCTCTCTCTCTCTCTCTTAAGTAAGCATATGAACTAGTAGAATTCAGTGATATTATGGTGCCTGTTGTTGCATAAAATAACAGAAATGCAATCAATCATATTGGGATATTTTCATTACTGATCATGATCATGGATAATTAAGAACCTATTAGTAATTCAGCTGCATGCATGGAATGGAACAAAGCCACCACTCAAAAGTAAGTCAAGTTGATTACCTTGCATCCGAGAGAGCAATGGATATAAGGTTCTTGAAGACTTCTGTCACAGGAAGTGCAGTTGTTTCCAGAACCCTTGAATTGCCTGTTCTGAGGTCTTTTCTTGATGAACACCACTTTGGCACTATTGATTGTATATGCCTAAACAAGAATCAAAAGACTTAAATTGTCAAAAACTGTACAGTAATATATTATATACAAACTGATGGAGATGGTTAATTAACCTAGCCTTGATGATTATAGGGCACCAACCTGAACATTCGAACAGTCTATGAGCTTTTGAAGATCTTCCAATCGGACAACATCATGGTATACATAACGACGAATTTGAAGGAGCCTATGAAAACGATGGGATGGCAGACAATGGGGGCATATACTGATGCAACAATCCAAGCAGCAGATATTCTTTTCATTCTTTTTAGCAGTTTCATGATAGGAGCAACCGGCAAAGAACTTCTGAGTACAGAGGGCTTCCAACCATGCAGGCTTCTGAATTCCCTATTAAAGCAACAAAATTTTCTCAGTGATTATATATATGAACCAAAAAGACAAGAAGAATTATGCCATAGAGAGACAGAGAGTGGACAGAGACAAACCATGATCACATAAACACTTGAAAGAGAGAGCCCTCCTTGAGCTGTTATCAAGACAGTGGTGTAAATAGAAGAGAGAGAGAGAGAGAGAGAGACTTAGGGATGGAGATAAGAGTATTTATGGAGCTTCACAAGAGAGGAAAGGGGTCTATATTTATTCCTTGGGGAGGGGCACAACATTTTGTCAATAGGAGGCTTTTAACATGAGAGAGAGAGAGAGAGAGAGAGAGAGACAATAAATAAAGGAAGTAAGATATGAGGGGAACGTGGGCGCTGTTTCCGTGTCTCCCATTCTCTAAAACCCCTATAAACTATTCTTGCTCATCTCCTTGGCTGAAGAGCTCTAATGCTAAACTAACCAAGCTCTTCTTGAAGGAGCTGCCTCTCTGCCTCAAAAATTTTATTTTCAAAGTGTTTTTTTAATACCTTTTCTTTCATTGATTCTCATCTCTTAGAATTGGTGAAATCAGTTGGATGGAAGGAACCAGCCACTTGTTGTAGACTTTGAAATGAGAAACAGAACAAAAAGATGACAGATATTTACATAGATAGACAACACCAGCTTGATAATAGTTCAATTGGTCCATTCTTGCGTTCCACTTAGTTGTCATTCGAAGTAATTACAAAAAAGCTCAAATTAGATCCAACTTAAAGATGCATACCCCAATAAGTCGGCTAACTTAATCTTCTTTTTTACCTCATTCATAAAAAATGTAGATTTTCTTTCTAAATGTATATTGTATTCCTCTGCATCCCTTTTTCTTGCCTGATGCTTTTGATGTCATTCGTATAATTTCCATCACTTCAAAGCTAAGTAATTAGAGCATATACAGCAACAATGAAAGCATGGTAGAGATTGAGAGTAGCCAATCTCCCCCTAAACTTTTTTCTCTTTAAAAATATAAATAAATAAAAAAGCATGGTCGAGAAGAAGGGTGCTGAGCTGCATTAAAAATACACAAAGGCAATAGTAATACCTATCAACTATGTCTTGTCACAACAAATTGAAATGTCAAAAGCTCCAACTGGTTTAAGAGAATCTATCAGATACATTAACTTAAAAGAATTTGGTGCAAGAGCACCAGATCAGTAAGAATAAGTAGAGCTTAATCTTGCAATCTATGGTTGCACATCTAAGATGTATACCTGCAAATCTGACGGCTGATTGTTTCATTTTTGAGACCAGGGAAGAGCACCTCAATGGTCCTGGCTGGGTAGTATACTTTCAAACATATTATATAGTATCTCATTATTGTTTAGGTGTATTGAGTATGTCAAGGTGCTTTGTTTATTCTTCTTCTTCCAAGGCCCTATTAAATTGCTCAGAAAATGAGAGAGACAAATTTAATGAAATTTGAAAGATTAAAAAATCTGGGTTTGGGAATATTAGTATGCCAAAAACAAAAACAAAAACAAAAACTTGAAGCTGTCCATTCATTGGGGTTTTTTTTGATACCTCAACTGTGACTCATGTGACTCAGGCCACAAGGTTGAAGTAGCAGTTTAAGTCTTAGGAAATAAACAGAGAAAGGCAATTGGTAAAGGATGTCCTGCCAACTGAGGCCATAATGGTGTTGGTTTAGAATGCCTTGCATCTGGCCAATACAATACAACCATGGCAGCATGCCTAATCTACTAACAGAGTCAAAACAAAGACATGTACAAGAAAGAAAGAAAGAAAGAAACCCGGTTTTTAGGGAATAAAACATGTCAACAATCAATCAACCACTCCACTAATCCACTAATCCACTAATCACAAGTCCTGCTTTAACAATAATGTGGTTTTGCAACAAACATTTGACAGACAAGCACAACTCATTGAGCACTAGTTAGGGAAACTAATGACCTAATTAATTAGAGGCTCCAGTGTGCTAATTTTGAGGAAGACCTTGCTTATTGTGCCTCTAAGCTCCAACCAAGAGTTACCTTGGGGTTTGCAATGCCAAAGAGTCTTGTATCATTCCCTTTATACCCTTCCTTCAGGTCTACCATTCAATTTCGAGCTTCCACTTATGTGATTGTTGTTCATCAGAGCATTTCACATCACAAATCTTTTATCATATTACAACCGACGGTTGTCAAGAACTCATGATGAATGCTATCATACATTTTTATCATATTAATCAACGGTTGTCAATGCATGCCTGGAAGATTAAAGCTAGCAAAGCCCTTATATACATTTAAATTAATCTTCTTTAGAGAGTTCAGCTCTTGGAGCTAGACCTAAGCAAACTTATAAACATTTTGTGAAGATATTATCAAATATTTTATCTTTTTTCCATTTTTATAAAAAGATAAAAGAAAAACATTTTGAGGCGGTTTGAGTTTGTCTTTTTCTGTTTTCTTTTCCCCTCTTCTTAAGCAAGCATTGAAGGTATGTTAACTGTTGGTTCACTACCAATGTGATGAGCAAAACTTTTTGAAGATTAATCTCAAAGAATAATCTAAAAGTAGTTTTATTTATTTATTTATAGAAACTGCTAAAATAAAACAGAATCATGATAAAAGTTTCACACATGTCTACCATGAAATGAAATATACTGTGCACGTGTATACTTGATGAAACGACATAAATAGCAAATATCCCTAGAGCCAAACTAAAAGGAAGAAAGAAATTAAGCTCACAGAACAAATAGAATCAGAGAAGAGAAAGAGGATGGCCAACCCCACGTGCCATGAAAAGTAGAAAGGTATTATAGTAAGCAAGAAGCTCACGTGCAAGGGATCCAAAGGCCTGGCTTTCAAACAAACTGGCAATGTCCAAAACGAGAAGCTTAAGTGTGTCTTGGGACTGACCATTTCCTCCTCCTTTTATCATTCAAGTCAAGGTTTCAAGTTGTGTGGAGTGTTGGTCAACGGTCAAAGATCCAGAAGTGAACAGATTCTACAGAGATGATGATGTGGTTAGAAGAAGAAATAGGGGGAGGGCTGGGTCAGCGGATGAGCCGCACGAGGGGATCTTCCTGCTGTGGCCACAGGCCTCTGTGTGGTCTGAGTTGGTTCCATTTTGCTTTGTCAAAAAGGGTTGTCTTTCTTTATTAGCCTAGCCACCTCACCATGCCCTATTATACAATATGCATAATGCATGCCCTCATTTTTAAAGTTTAGGTCACATGGAGAACCTTTTTTCCAAAGATTAAAGACTAACTATGCTCAAGAGTCAAGATCGTGTGACTCCAAGCCTACGCCTAAACCTTCATGTAGTAGTTCTAGTTTCCCATCGTGCTCACAAGATTCAAATTCTTAATTGAAACCTTGTCATGAACACAAACCTTCTGATTATCTAAAAACAGCAGTCCTCCTCTTCCTCTTCTTCCTATTCTTGTTCACGCATATTTTATTTGTTCTTCTTATGTTATACATCTACCTTTTATGCCATAATCAACTTCGCCTAATGAAGATTGAAATGGCCGTTAATCTGTCAATACTAATCAGTAACCACTAATAGAGTCCCTGATAATGTTAAGCACTACTACTATCATTCTTCATACAGTTAATAAAATACTACTTCTTATTAATAATAAATACTTTACATCTTCCCCAGATTATCCACCTTTTCAGGTTCTGTATTCTTCTTTTTAAATGTCTATACAATTATATAAATACACTATACAACAAATCAACAAGAAATATGATAAATCCATGTACGGAGAAATTATATTCAAATGGCTCAAACCTACTCTCAAGGTTTCTGAGCAGAAAACATGATGAAAGATTGCTGAACTTTGCTCGAGTAGTTGATGAGACCAGATGATGTACACAAGTCCTCAATCTCTTCTTCCGTTAAATAGCTATAGTCCTGCAGAGCCCTCTGCCACATAAATTACAACTTAAAATCAATACTTATTAAAGTTTATAACCAAGTCAGTCACATATTTTTAATAAAACCCATGTCTCAATGACTGTAAAAACAGTTTCGATGGGGAGCCACCCTTAAACAGATCCTAGCTAGCTACAGCTAATGAGTCCCGACTAACGAAAATTCAACTGTTACATCATTAGTGTGCAATTTATGCAGAATATGAAAATGAATGTGGATATTACACAATCGTTCTTTTGAACACACATTCTATCACTAGCATATACAGATAAACAAGTATCATAATAACATTAGTGTGAGAAGGACAATTGACAGGTCTGAACCCTATAGAACAGCTATAACTTCATAACATAAATAAGTTTTATTGTTTCAATACATGAGTACTATAAATCAGAGATAAGTTGGTTGACATCTACTTAATGGGAAATTCACAAGTTGAAATAAAAAAGTTCTTAGACAAACCAACTCCTAGTTTGGATAAATGCTTCATATTAGAGCTCCTCAGAGTAAATCAACATTTACAAACTCAGCGTACACACATATATCCACTCAGAGATGAATACAAAGTTGTTTATTTTCATTTAAGAAAACAAACCGTGGTCGAAATTATTAATCCACCAAGGGGGAATCACATCTATCATTGATCACATTTGTTAATTTTTTGAATAAGTAAGAAGTGTTACCTCTCTGAGAGGCCTCAATATCCAGGGAGTAGATGAAGTATACCGCAGGAAAGTGGTTCCGACAAAGATGCCACCACTTCGTAATATACGACTTATTTCAGCAATCTGAGAATTGTATGAGAAATGAGTTGGAAATGCATTAGTTAAAAGCAACTTTGTTGCATCCATACACATATCTACAGTAAAACTGAAAATATAACAAGATTCGATGGTTCATGAAGTTCAGATGCAAATAGAATTCAAAGCGCAAAGGCTTCTCTTCTGTAACTGTGGAAAAGGCTGTGGCTGAATTCTTTTTTTGTAATTGTAAATAGAGCTACTTTCCCTCTTCTGCCTTCCGTCACCTTAAGACAAGACTCAAATGCCAATGTTGGTGATTGGAGATAACTCTTTTCAATTATTCCGGGGATGGGTGGGGGTACAGGAAGGTAAGAACAGCTTTTTTTCTGGAAGGAATAGTTTTTTTGGGGTCATGTATACTTACAGGATGGCCTTTTTTTTTTTTTTTTTTTTTTGAGTAATGTCCACCAGAGAGGGGATTAATATATCTACTTGCTAACAGCAAACCACCTGAGAGCTAATTCCTTCGAAAATTTCAC